ACATCCAAAGTAAAATTCATTTAACATATATGTTGCTTTTTCGGAATTATCTGTGATAAGGACAATGTAGAATTATCCTGCGAAACGGAGATGGTTAAGTTTTTCTCCGTCTATTGTTACTCCTCTGTAGTCCCAATTAACCATCTTAAAGGCATACTCTAATGCCGCTATGAATAATTTCAGTGACAATGTATCTCCTTGCCTTATTCCACGCTTTATTTTTATTGGTCGGGTTTTACCGTGTATCTTAACAGTCATAGTGGCATTTTTGTAAATATTGTAAATAAGTTCACTATACCTATCGTAAATCCTGCTGTCATTCATTGCTTCTATAAGGCTGGCTATTTCGATCGGGTCAAACGCTTTATAAAAATCTATGAAGGTGAGGACAGAGGTTTGTTGTATTCTATAGATTTTTCAGTAAACTTTCTTCACTGTATGAAGTTGATCATTGGTACCATAATTTGATTGGAATCTTGCCTGATCTCTCGGTTGGTAGAAATTTAATTTTTTCTCCTTTGAAATGGCTGTTTGTATTCTTGTTTGATCTTCTCATCTACTTCCATATAAGTCCTCGTAGAACTCTTCGACGACCTGTTTCGGACCTCTTCGGAGGTTTCGTGCAGTAGTAGCTTATTATTGATATGTGCCTGATATTAGTTGATATCTAATGGTAGTGTCCAGATACCATGAGATTATCTTGTTCGTGTCGTTTTTATAGACAAAGAAACCGATGTCTCCAACTGATGTAGTTTCAGGGCCAGTCTGATAGAATATATGCCCTGATTTCAGTGTTTTTAAAGTTTCACCTCTGTGGTCACTGCTTGTAGTGAACTTGTTGAGTGCTGTTACGTCTTTAATTATTTATTTTTTATCACTTATAATGTAGTCGATTTCGTTCCTTGTTCTACCGTTTGAACTTTCCCAGGTCCATCTTCTCTGCATTTTTTTTTGAGAAGGTGATCATGTTGAATAAATTATTCTGGAGAATGAATCCTAGTAGCGTTTCTCCACTGTCACTTCTTTCTGGAGAACCGAATTTTCCCAAGGATGTTTCAAATTCTGCTTCTTTTAGACCTATTTTTGCAATAAAATCGCCACATAAAATTGTAAATTGAGAACGAGAATCATTAAGCGTAGTATATATATATCGTCATAAAATATTTCAATTTCTTCATCTGTATGGTCTGTTGTTGGAGCGTATACTTGGATAACATTGAGTTGATATCTACTGTTCAACTTCAAAATAAGATATGTCACTGTAGATGATATACTTTGGATGCTTATTATCTTGTTCACGTGGTTTTTATGGACAAAGACACCGGTGCCTCCAACTGATGTAGTTTCAGGTCAGTGGCGGCTGGTGTGGTAAATTCTGTGAATCTTTTATTATCGCCCAATTCCAGTTATTAAAACTTTTTGTAATCCGAGAAACTTTGCTGTAATTGAGTAATAATATTGCCCAAAATCTTAAAAAAGATTTTTCTAAATTTAGATTTAGCTTCTCAAAAAAACTTTGATTTTCGTTATTAGATGAACTACCAGGTAAAATATCAAGTTCACTACTTACGAATTAAGATGGGTTTAGAATTGGATTAGCTAACAGCAATGTTGAAATGGTTAGAAAATGTAAGGTTATTTCTCCAGCTCTTTAACATTGCAACATTTCTGGATACTGAATTGGCAAACAATTCAGCATCATTATTTTTCTTCTGCAAGATGTTGTATAAGAGCTCAGTTTGCTGCCTAACTAACTGATTTTGCGTTTGATTCTGGGCAATTCATTATGTCCTGAAAGACTTGTAATACTTTTTTTCCTTCTTGTGACATAGCGTATACTACTTTTGTATTTGATTTCCATCTTACTTCACTATTTGTGGTAATTCGTTTTCCAAGTATTTTATTTAAAAAATGGGATCGTTTGGATGATTGGTGAAAATAAGCTGGAATACAATAAAGTGTTGAGAATAATATTTTGACTGTTGTAATGTTGGAGCAACTTTACTGTAAAACTAAGTTGATGCGGTGAGCGAAATAATGGGTAAATATTGCTAATGGTGCAGAATCTTTCACTAATTTTTGAAGTCCATTTAGTTGTCCCGACATAACACTAGCTCCATCGTAGGTTTGAGTAATTAATTTAGCTTTAAAGGCAAATTTACCAATTACACTAAACAGTTAGTCACGTAACGCTGGAGCACTTCAGCCTTCCCCTAGATAAAAAAAACCTAAGAAATATTCTTGAACAACGCCTTTTATATCCACTAATTTGCATACTATTGAACAATGTGCATTTTCAGTATTATCGGTTGTTTCATCAAGAATGCATGCAAAAAATGTGGAGATATTTATGGCGTTCTTATACAACACATTTGTGTTGTTTGTTTAAAAATTTGTTACAATTATAGATTATGTTACATATTTTTTTATCATAATTTAAAAGAAAATTTATATTACAATTCGATAATTAAGTTACAAGTGACAACGATGGTCGGCGTAGGCCCGATCGTCTGGTGCCTAAACAGCAATCATAAACACGACAATAAAAATCGTTGTCCGGCATGCTTCTTAACTTCAAACGCTTTTTGTACGGGAATCTTATGTTAGCTGGATTGGCCAGTTCCGATCGGGCCTAATAATGACATTTAAAATGCCTGAATACGATTCGATGCTTTCTGTGGTAATATAATAACATAGTTGTTTTAACGGACGCTAATGTATTGAGTGATTTAGTATATTTAAAAGTTATTTACATACATTAACATAATTTTTGAGTATATGTTTTTCATTTTTAAAGCTCTTAAAATTATTGGGTAGGCCCGGCCTATCCTGCCTACCCCCAAAAGCCGCCACTATTTCAGGGCCACTCTGATAGAATATGTGCCCTAATTTTAGTGTTTTTAAAGTTTAACCTCTTTTTATAACTTTACTAATACCTATAACATCCCATTTAATATTTTATTCATTTCAGTTTCCATTTCTGTGAATTTCTCCTCGGATAGTAGACTTCTGGCATTGTATGTACTAATGTAAAGAGTTATGGTGTTTTTGGTTTCCGTAAAGTTAGCTTTTTGTCCCCCCCCCCCTTCAGAATACTTGGGTCAGATTGATAAATCAGTGTGTAATTTTGGACGCATCCCACTTACTTACCTGGGGTAAATCTGTATTTGTTTTAAAATCTGACATCTTATTTTTAAGGGGTATATTGACATTTAAAACACCACGCCTGCCAGACGGGTTGGTGAGTGTTTGCAGTATCTCTGCCAATTAAATCAACTTGATTGTCGCCTGTTACTTTGTGATACCGCACCTGTTAGGAATGATATTCCTTATCCACGGGCCACTAATGACACAGCTGCTGACCTGTGTTATGTCCTCAGTTGATCCGCGGGTACTAATTTGGCTAAGCCTTATTCGTACCTGTCCTGTATATCTACAGGAACTTCCCTATCAGCCATTGGGACGCGCCGTGCTGGGGTTGAGGACTCCCCCACCCAGTCTGTCTTGTGCAGAGTACTGAAGGACCCCTACTAAGTTAAGAGTCCTTGCTTTACACAAGCTGAGACCGGCACGGTCACACACACACGCCACACACACGCACACACGCACGCGCACACTCACACACGCGCACACTCATACACGCGCACACTCACACACACACCCACACACACACACACACACACACACACACACACACACACACACACACACACACACACACAAACGCACACACACACACACACGCACACTTACTTATTTAGAGAACATGTAGGCAATGATATTCTCCACACGTGAAAAATATGTGGAATTCTACAGGGTGATTAAAAACTACGTGGTAGGGCAAACATACAATTTTTTTAAATGAGACACCCTATACATTTTTTTTCAATTTGTATTCTTCTCATAGTTCTTGTTCTTATAGTATTCCGTTTTGCATTACTATATGAAGTATTCAACAAATTAAGACCATTTTTATTTCGAAATCCTTATGAAATCAACACCATGTATTTAAAGAAGTAATGCAAAAACAATTTCATTTATTTTGTATAATAAAGTAAACAGTATATTGTAGTTTTAAAATTAGGTTTAATTGAAATCATTGACCAAAAATTGTATACAGGGTGAACTACAAAAAAATAGGATTTTCTTAATTTTTTTATTTTAAATTGATCACACTATATTTTATTTTTTAGAAATATTGTATTTATAGTACTCTTTAATTTGGGTATAGCATTCCTTATACCTAAACTCATTACTTTCCGAGATATTTTTAGCATTCTTGAAATTTCGGAAATACATTTAATTTTTGTAAGTAGAAATCAGTAATGAGGATTGAGTGGTAATATAAAAAAATTATTTTTATTCAATAAGTTACTAACAAAAAATTTAAACCATAACAATATGCAATGAATTTATCAATAAATGTTTATCAACGCTTTTTCTGCAAATTTCTGACTGCTGTCAAAAAGTTGACAACGTTGGAATATATCTAGCCAGTTCATCAATCAAACTACAATAAACACATTTTGAGTTTTTAACCTGTCTGATCTATTATCGTTTTGTGTCCTTTGTTCTCAAAAAGATTTTATTTGTGAAAAGATCAACTCTGTCAGTCTCACGCAGCTATTAAGTAAATGCAAAACTGATGTTACAGCTAAGGGAAGGTCAAACGTTTACATAGTGTCAATGGCTTACTGTGTTATATGACACAATAGTGTTGACATACTGAGTTGATACAATAAGCTGTATCAGTGTTGTTGTGTCAACACCCAAAAATTTAGTGTGTTACCCATCGTTAGTCCGAATAGCTATGATAATTGCCGACCTCCGCCGCGGTTAGGCCTTGGTATTATTTGATAAATCATTATTTTTCTTATTAAATAATTAAACACTTTAACATCATAAATTCATCAAAAATGACTCAAACCTATTTGAAACAGAAAAAACGAAAAATTAAATTAGGCTAAATTCGTGAATATACGGTTTATTTCCTGATCACAATGGTGTTGAAGTAAGTGGTGGGCATTTCAAATATTTACTTTAAAGTTTTTTTTTGTTTTTAAATTTTGTATTTTTATACAGTTAAAAAATAAAAAATTTTTAGGTAACATTCAAATTACCTGGACTTCTTAAAAGCAAATAACTCGAGAACCTATTGAATTATACTCTCTCTATTGAATTATACTCTCTGCCACACGAACAAATTTATCTCTACTGCAAACTACTCTGAAACGGCTTCTTAAAGTCAAACAAATTGAGGTTGAAGTTGGGGCACAGGACACAAAATTTGAAGCTCCGCTTCTTAAAAAACTGGAACCATGTGGGTATTTTTCAAATTTGTTGGAAACGAAGTTTTAAAAATATCTCAGATAAGAGACGGCATACAACAAAAACCAGTGATTACTCTTATCTGAACTGACACATTACTTTGAGTATATCACAGTTTTTTACAAATTTGCCGGTTTTTCCAATTAAACTAAACACGTCTGCTTTCAATGGCCAATCTTTTAAACCTGACTTCTTTTAATTTGACCTTCCACGTACCGGGCGGCTTCTACCATTTCCTTACCTCCATCAAGTCGAAGAGACAAGCAAACCGGAATTCTTTTTAAACACGCTTGACCTTAAATCATTGCTTGCTTTTAAAATGGTAGAACTAACACGTACAAATAAATAAAACCATATTTAACGTCGCAGTTATAACTGGAATTTCGATTTTTTCCTTTACATTCCAATGTAAGCAGAGAATCAGCGAAATATTTATACTTGACCCAGGGGCATACTAGATAAATTATATACTTCGAATATTCGATAATTAGGGAATTTATTATGCTACAATATAACTAACGCCTTCCATTTAAAAATTTTTAATTTTAAAATAGAAATTGTAAAAACATACAAAAATATTGCAAAAATTAAAATTGCATTCCACATTATATCGATTGTCTTAGTAAAAACCTTTTATAAACTTGCTTTTAATACTCCAAAAACCAATTAAATAAAGATATAGAAAAGACAGTTAAGATTAAGAATAATATATTTTTCGAAATAATAATATCATTTAAAATATAACTAAATTTACCTGTGTATATGTACATGTGGCTTCCAGAAACCCCGTAATATTTCCTAGAGATTGTTCCATGGTAAATGGCAATATTAAAATGAAGCTGAAAGCAATAAAGTTACAAATATGGGAAAATGCGAAAATAAATTTATCCATAATGGTTTGTTGTTTTTTAAGTCCACACGCACTGAATATTTTTAAGTATAAAATTAAGCATTTGTCTTCCAAATTCATACTGTACACTTCTTAATAAAAAATTGTTATAAATAGTTGTGATCCACCAAATGCAGTTATCTAAAAAAATAATAAGCATGAACAAAATAATATTAAATAGCAAAACCAAAAAAGTATTCTAAGAATGTAAATCTGAGACTCAAATAACTTTTATCACAATCTAATAAAAAGCAATGTTATAAATATATATATATAATATATATATATATATATATATATATATATATATATATATATATATATATATATATATATAAACATATAGTTCATTACAGTCTGTGACCCTGCCGAAACGTTGATTGCTATGGAAAATAATATCTAGTTCCACATGTAATATATATTCCACAGGTAATATATATAATATATATATATATATATATATATATATATATATATATATATATATATTACCTTTCCTTTTTCTCCTTTGAGTGCCTCTCCTGTCGGAGATTGGATATCATTATGGCGATTCTAATTTTATTTACTGCTGTTTTAAATAATGCGTTACTCTTAACTCGTTCTTCTACGGACTGGATTTCTGCGTCCTTGGATTTTTCCTTGCATTATATTTTGTAGGAATACTTGTACTTTTGTCCTCTCATCAGGTGACCTAAGTATTCAAGTTTTCTCTTTTTTATATTCATGATACTTTCTGGATAGTTATTTATTATGCGTGTTACCTAAACGTAAACCCAAGAAACACTAATTTTATATTAAATAGTGTGAGGAAACTCAGATCTACTGAGCTTCCTCACACTAATTAATCACCCTATATATATATATATATATATATATATATATATATATATATATATATATATATATATACTTCTAGCGGTTAATGTAGGCTCCGTACTAAAACGGTATTATACTAACTCCAGTAGAATATACACCGTGTATATTATTATCTGAGTAGCGCTTTATATAGACTCCGACCAACATGTAGGAGTAAGTGGACTCCACAGCAGGGTAAACCATTTTTGGGATCCGTATTTACCATTTTGCGTACACTTCTTAACTCCTGTGGTGTTGCCAATAATTGTATTAGTAGTAGATTTTCAAATTTTACAGCAGCTACATTTTGGAACTTGAAATATATTTAAATATCGATCAATTTAGTCATGGAGGAATTTCATGAATATTTGGCTAATGTAGTTAAACATAAATTATTAACCGACATTATATATCATTATATATTCATCATTTGTTGTGTTGGCAATGATATAGTTCCAGGAATAAAACAGCGATATAACGAAAATATCAGAAATTAAAACGGAAACCTTCTGACGGACCTCAGCAGCATAAACGAGATACATATTAATAATACATTTTTCCCTCAAAAAGAACAATACAAATACACTTTTGAAAACAGTAGAGGACAAAGATCTATGATGGGCTATATTCGGTCCAATAGAGAATTATTGACCTCATAAATCTTGAATGTAAGAGCACTAATATCAGCAGAAATAGGAAGCGATCAGAAATTGGTATTGTGTAAAATCCGAATGAAAACACATATATGTGATTTATTGAACAAAATACCAGAATACACTACAAAGATAAAAGTCGAAAGCTTTTAGGATGACTCCACAAGATACCTATTCCAAAAAAGAATAACCAAAAAAAAAGCAGAAACACATGTATCACAGAAAGTGATGGAGTCGAAGAAAGCTGGGCAAAAATGGGGTCTAATATCTTAGCCTCGGCCAAAAAAGTTCTTGGTGAAAGAAATATAAATAAAAATAAATCTTTGCCAAGGCGAAGAACTCCATGGTTTTGTACAGAGAAGTGAAGGAAAAATGTAAAGAAAATAAAAAAGCTTACCTGAAATAAACGTCAACCAAAATACAAGAGGCATACCATAATTACAAGATAATTAGAAACGAAACTCATGAACTTATCAGAAAAATAAAAAATGATCACTAGGAACGTTTTCCGAAAGAAATGAAACATATTTTTACGGTCTACAAAAGGAAATAGGGCGCTTCATAAGAGGTCAAAGAATGGAGGTAAAGAAACTAAAAGAACTAAAACACAAAGAAAGGATACGTGGATTGACTACCTAAAAAGGCTATATGCAGGAGAAGATCAAACGACGCTGAAACCGGAAACACCAGATATTACCACAAATAAAGAACCTAATATAAATGTACAGGAAGTTCGGAAAATACTTGAAAATCTGAAAAATAGAAAAGCAGAAGGTAAAGACGAGATACCAAACGAGTACTGAAATATTTTGGAGCAGCAATTACAGAACAATTACCAACATTACGTAATAAAATTATAAAACAAAATAAAATACCGGAAGAATGGAGAACGAGCGAACTAATTCTACTAGTCAAAAAAGAAGATAAAAACAAACCGAAAACTACAGTGGTATAAACTTGTTAAATACTTCACTAAAACTTACAACTAAAATTTTACAAGTGCTAATAAATCAGAATATAAGTTTAGCAGATAAACAACCGGATTTTTTTTAGTGGAAGATCATGTACAGATGCAATATTCGCTATAGAGCAAATTGCTCAGAAATCACTAGAGTATAATAGATCAGCATTTCTGTGTCTGATTGACCTACAGACACCGTTTGACAGAGTAAGACTGAAATATATAATCCATATTATGTATAATAGAGTAGCTCCCCTAAATATTATAAAAACTATCGAAAACATCTATCAAAAGAACAAAATGGAAGTCAGAATAGATGGACAACTTACAAAACTTATAAAAATTGGCAGCGGAACGAGACAAGGGGATGATATCATGAAAAGCATTAACAAACGAAGAGGATACAAAATGGAAAACAAAGAAATCAAAATACTCTGTTATGCATTAATAGCCCAAGATGAAGATAGTTTGCAAAGACTGGTCCACGGATTTAATATAAGAGCAAAAGAATTTAATATGACAATCTCATCTCAAAAAACTAAAACAATAGTAGTCAGCAAAGAACCAACCAGATGTAAAATAGAAATTGATGGCATCAGCAGAAACAAGACCCGACACAGCCACAACGCAAAGAATAATGGAAACGGCAGAGATGAAAGTACTGAGAAGAATTACAGGAAATACGCTGAGAAATCGAAAGAGAAGTGAAAACATTAAAAGAAAATTTACCGTACAGTGTATAAATATAAGGACACAAAATAGAAGTAAAAAATGGAATAACTACATAAGCAAAATGAAGGAGACTCGTGTCGTCAAAATAGCAAGAGATAAGTCACCAATCGGCAAAAGAAGTATCGGACGACCGCGCAAAACATGAAGTGACAACCTTCCATAAAGGTATTAATCCGCCAATGAACAAGCAGAATTGCTTATTGTGAAAAAGAAAAAGATTTAACATATCTCAAATAAATAAGCGGAACAACAGAAACAGAGTATTAACTTGAAATTCCCGAAATAACAATAAAAAAATTACTGCAAATCGTACAAACTGAAATAAGTGTTGCTTTCTGTACATATACATATATGTAATATAGGTGGCCATCATCAGAAACGAGACATGTATAATTTATGTTTAATCTAAAATTCGTCTCGCTGGTTTCTCCCTTTCGACTTGGGTATTACGAATAAAAATAAATAAGCAATAAGAACTATATTTAAACCAAGTGACAAAAAAAATATTCATTTACTTTTAAATGATTAACGTCTATATAATTAAAATAAGCTTGAAAACGAAAAATACAGAAAGGCAAAATAATGATAGCTTA